AATGGAGATGAGGAAAGTTGTAGAAAGGTCAGTATATACAAAAAACCCTCGTGTATCATAACTTATAATTTGCACACTTAGTCAAAAATTTGTTTAACAATGTAAGTCGTTAGTGCTAAAGAGCGATGTTCATTTTGGTGGTCTCTCATCTAAATCATGTATTTCATATATTCTTAGGTGGCTCTGAAAGAATCACATGTCACTATTATTTAAGCTACAAAACATAGCGACCTCACTAATTTGGCATGTCGTAGTGTTACTCCTGACCAAAGACTCTGTAGGTATTTGACTAGATGAATATTTTTTCCTGCATATTGACTCCCAGATTCGTAAAGGTGAATGCAGATTTTTCTCCCTATCAACTAAAAAAAACCCAATGTGAAGGCTATTTTTTTCTGCCTATCAACTAAAAAAAAAACAATGTGAAGGCTATTATGACATCTAATCTATATATTTGTTGTTGTTGCCGGCATATTTATTAGTCTGGTATCTTTCATGCTACTTATTACTGCACATGCTATTTTCAGCACACAAAATCTTTTCATTAGAGAGGCAATGGCTACAGAAGTTATGATAGGCAAGAATGATAGTGTTGAGGGTGTTCGCACTTTCTTCGGCATGGACTTTTACGCACCATCTGTTGTACTTACCACCGGGACATTTATGAGTGGTAAGATTTGGGTTGGTAGGACATCAATGCCTGCAGGGCGAGCTGGAGAGTCAGCTTCTCAGGGACTTACTGAAAACTTGCAGCATCTGGGTTTTGAAACTGACCGTTTAAAAACTGGCACGCCACCACGAATTGATCGCAGAACAGTTGACTTTTCTAGATTGGAAGCCCAGCATGGTGATGAAGAGGTGTGTAGAACATGTGAAATATTCTTTTCCTTGTGATTATATTTTCTTGGTTATCTGCATTGATGGTGCCTCTTGAAACAGGTAGGCTGGTTTAGTTTTGATCCTGAATTTCACGTTGAGAGGGAACAAATGTGCTGCTATTTAACGCGAACTACAAAAGAGACGCACCAGATTGTTACAGACAACTTGGATGAAACACCAACATATGGTGGCTGGGTTGAAGCAAAGGGACCAAGGTACTGCCCAGCAATTGAAGACAAGGTATTATATCATGGACATTTTGGTCTTTGACTTTGTTCCACAAAAGATTATCTTTTGACCTATTATGTGTAATCGACCTAAACTTGAAAAGATCATGGAAAGAAAAATTCGTTTCCCTATATAGACTAACTTTTTTGCCGATCACAGTCCGAAACATCACCGTATATTTGTTTGTTGCAGATTGTAAGGTTCAAAGATAAAGAATCTCATCAGGTGTTTCTTGAACCGGAGGGTAGAGATGTCCCTGAGCTATATCTACAGGTCTCTCTCTGCCCCTCAATTTTGCATATTTTTCCTTTTCCACCAATTGTTTTCAGTCTGAGATTTGGTATCACTTGTTCTTATCTATGAAATTTTGTGTAAAAACGATATTTTCTGCATCATTGTGTTACTGAAAATCTACAACTTAGACCATTTATACACCTCATACAGGGCTTTTCCACTGGTCTTCCTGAGAGATTGCAATTACCACTTGTGAGAACACTACCAGGACTGGAGAACTGTGTGATGCTAAGGCCAGCTTATGCTGTTGAATATGATTACTTGCCTGCTTATCAGTGCTCAAGATCGCTTATGACAAAAAGGTTTGAGGGCTTATTCTTCTCTGGTCAGATTAATGGAACAACAGGATATGAAGAAGCTGCAGCTCAGGTGTGTTCATTGCTTGTGATATGCCCATTTCAGGACATATGGTTAATTGGACCTGATTTTCTGGATCCTAATCTTGCTCACTTTTATTACAGGGTATAGTTTCAGGAATCAATGCAGCTAGACATTCTGATGGAAAGCCACTAATTGTTCTTGAGAGGGAAAGCAGTTACATTGGGACTCTGATTGATGATCTTGTTACAAAAGATCTTAGGGAGCCTTATCGCATGTTAACAAGGTATGGGTTATCAATACAACAGCTCTTGGTATTAATGCTTAAATGGTCTGATGGAAAAAGCATAGTTGCAAGCTCATGTATATTAAGACAAAGCAATGTGACATAGTATTTGTATTTAACGGTGAATATTAGAATCTGTATAATTCTACAAGGCTGCATGCCAACTTTTAGGGTTTGCCACTCAATTTGTTGGTGTTCATGGATTTGCAAATTGATGTCTCACGAACACGTGGGTCCAGGGTCCACATGCCAATGAGATATGAAGTGGCAAATCCTTGTGTGCCAAGGAATGTAGTGGCAAGTTTTCTTGACCATAGAGTAACAATCATGATTCTCACCAAGGACTGCATCAGAAAGGGCTAGTTAAATGCAGAGCATAAGATTATGCAAATGTCACAAAACTATGCTCGAACAATGTTAACGATTTTCGAGAAACTCAGCATGAGCACTGCTCATTCATTATGAAGAGCCATAATTACAAATCACTTGTTTTTTGAAGGAACGAGCCAGAAGAACTTTACTGACAGCATGCTGTGATGTTTTATGTTGTCTACTATTGTCCATTAGAAGGAATCAATGAACTTAATTTTATTAATCTAATGGCTCTTTGAATCGCAGTTTGACTGATAATTTTTGTTGTTGGCACTTGTGTACATTCAGTCGTTCAGAGCACCGTCTACTATTTCGATCCGATAATGCTGATAGTCGGTTGACCCCTTTCGGGAGAGAGATTGGTTTAATAGATGACAGACGCTGGGAGCTTTATAAGTCAAAGCAAGCCCGCATTAAAGAAGAAAAAGAACGATTGAAGCATACAAGAGTATCAGGTAAGCTTTATATACTTCCGAAGCTGCATTACCACATATTTTATGCGAAGTTCAGAAATATTATATTATTGTTAAGATCTGTTATCTTCGTGTATTTACAAGCATGGTTTCTGGTTCTATAATCAAGTATTCCGTTTGCAGGGGTTGAATTTGCTGCAGAAGTTACCGCAGTATCAAACCAACCTGTAAAGGAGTCATCGACACTTGAAGCGATACTGAAAAAGCCACATGTACAGTATAAACTTCTGGACAAGCACGGCTATGGAAATGAGCATTTATCTCCAATTGAGAAAGACTGCGTAGAGATTGATATCAAGTACGAAGGTTTCATAGCACGACAGCAGAGCCAATTACAACAGGTAATTGGCTTATGGTCATGTCATTTTGTTCTGAAATAAATATGCAAGGGAGCTTCTTTCAAGTACAAGAGAAATGGTAAATACATGTTTAAGAAGCCTGGCAGTGAGATTGTTGTGCAAGTATCTGTCGTGCTATGCATGTTCTTTTTCCCTGTTGAGGAACTTGTTTTTAGCTCTTTTGTAGCTGTAGCTGATTCTGTGCCTTTCTCCGTTGTAATAAAGAATTGTCGGGGTTTAGGTTTTTTATTCTTGCTTTTCTTAAGAAAAGGACCAGCTCCATTGACTTTGATAGGTTCAGTTATTTAATCCGTCATGTTTGCTACTTGAAAAACCTGCCGACCCCTAATAATTGTTTTCCTCTTCAGATTATAAACCAGGAACACAGGAAACTTCCTGAAGACTTGGATTACCACTCGATGCTAAATCTATCCCTTGAAGCTCGTGAGAAACTTTCCAAGGTATGAGAAGCATCTGCTTCTACAGTATATTTGCTCTTTCTGGAGTAGCATTTAGAATATGTTCAAGAGCCTTACTTACACAGGATAACCTGCCAATAATAACCCAGGGGCATGCACTATTCAGTCCTTAATTTAGCAACAATACACATGTTGCGTGCACTTCAGTCTTTTGTGATAAATCAATGGTGTGGGAATCTTAAGATGCCGTCCTTTATAGCCCAACATTTCCTCAAGATTTCAGCTCGACAAATTTGATCTGCTTCCGATACAACTCATATTTCGATGATGCATCTGCAGGTAAGGCCACAAACCTTAGGCCAGGCTGGCAGGATCGGCGGCGTGAGCCCAGCTGACATGACGGTTCTCCTCATCTCGATGGAGAGCACCCGCCGCGCGGCCGAGTACAAGCGACAGCAAGAAGTGATGAGGTCCGTCGCCGCGGCCAGGGCCAGTGCCAATGCCAAGGCGGACGATTCTTCAGACGAGGCGGTTCATGCCAGCACCGCGTAACTGCACACACCCCTGGCTGTGACTGCTACAGGCAACCGAACCGGGGCCCTATCAATAGAAGTTGCGTTTCATGGGGCCGCGACGAAATAGAATCTCGCGGCGACGTAGCTGGGACGCAGCGGAGTTGTTCAGGAGATGCTGAGAATGCATCTGCTATACCTGGACATCTACCTGTTTTCGATGGCCTGACGGAGTGGTTGGTGGTGCTGCCACAGTTTTCAGTTTCAGGCATGTGGATGACTGAAGCCTATTTGAGATGTTGGGTCCAGTGAGGAGGCCATGGAGGATCTGTTGCGCTTAGGGGTCGGTAGTAGGCACAAAGGTAAAGAAAATGCGACGACGATGAACCGATGCTCGCTGTTGTTTGTGTACATATATATACAATTCGCGTTTTTGAGATCCTGGAATAATGCAATGAAGCCTTGCCGTTTATGTTTCAAGGGAGCTGTCATTAGGATTTACAGTTAAGGGGAAAATGCGAAGTAGCGCAATCTTAGTCACACAATGTGAACTATTAACTCTCAAACACATTGCTAAAATGAAGATCGATTAGTAAGTTGAAGTTTCATGTAATAACAATGTACAGAATAAATGGGAGCACCACTGAAACTTCTGAAGCTCCCCTCTACTGTGAGTCAGGCAGGCACCATCAGTAAAAACGTCTGCAAAACACTAACGTTTTCTATCTAATCTACCACCGTAACCGTCGTAGCAACTACGGCCTAAACCCCAGAATGAACCAATGATCTATCTACACACCAAATGCCCAGCACTACCCCCCATCATCTACCACCTCAGTCACAAAAACTGTCTTCTCTTCTGCAAAGACATGCCCATGCCGTCAGCCAAGGTGCGGCCGGCGAGCCTCCGTGGGCGGCCCGTGAGCCCCGGCGCCGTCGGTCCTGATGCGCGCGTAGACCTGCAGGTTCCCGTGGAAGAAGCCAGCGATCTGCTCCAGGGCGGGGACGAAGCCGACCGGCAGAGTGGCCGACGCCGCAAAATGGACGTGCCGCACCACCTCGTCGTGCTTGGCCATCTCGCTGTCCAGCCTCCTCCTCATCTTGTGCAGATCGACGGTGTGATCGCCGCGGTCCTCCGAGAGCGCGACCGTGTCGGTGCCGGTGCCGGTGCCGGTGCCCGGGCCGAGCTCTCGCTGCAGGGCCTCGCGCCTTTTGTTGTAGTCCCTGGAGGCGTGGTCGACCTTCCTCTTCTGCCGGTGCTCGTCGTCCTGGCTCTTCCTCAGCTCGTGGACGAGCTTCGAGAAGTGGTCGATTGACTTCAGCGCGTCGCTCTTGGGCACCAGGTCGATGGCCCGGAACCAGTCGTTCGACACGACGAAGATCGGCCGGGCGCCGAGCTTGCCCGGGGAGAAAGGCGGGGCGCCGTCCGGCGCGTCTTGCTCGTCCTGCACCTCGGGGAACCATCTCCTCAGCCATCCGTTCAGCGCCTCCACATAAGACCTCTGCGAGCTGATCCACTTGTTGAAGCAACGGTACCATTTCGTGAGCTCCCTCTCCAGCTCCAGCGTCGCCAATTCCGCGGCGGCGGACTGGCTCACGGTCCTCGCCTTGAGCAGGTGGAGCCTGCTGTCCCTTATGGCCGACAGCTGCTTCTCATGGCATTTCAGAACTGCCTTCCACATCCTTCGCAATCTGTGTTTGATTGACAACAAAAACAAGAGCAGCAATGAGTGTGGTCAGTTTAAAGGTTTTGTTCTGTCAGGCAATGAAGTTGTGGAGCAACTAGAACTTCATCATACCCTTGGATAAGGTCAACAAGCTGAGGGTAGAGTTCCTCGTCCCGAATCTTCTCGATCTTCGACGAGAAGGCCTTGGCTGTCTTGATGTTGATCGTGATCTTCGACTGCAAGTCCCGCACCGACGATCTGGCCGTCTCTATCGCATCCGGCTCCGCCCCTTGTTCGTCTAGCGACTTCAGCCTGTTGTACTTCTTTTCATACAGAGTCCTCAGCTTCTCTTCATCCTAGAACAATCACCTAACCTTTTTCAACACATGTTTGGGCAGTAAATAAAGAGATAACATGAATGGACACTTGTAGCTTGTTGATGTGGCCTCAAATGTGCTTACCTTGACCTCCTGATATAGCTTCTTTTCCCATACACAGAGCTTCTCCAGAGTTGAACAGAGACTTCCGTCGCGATGTTCTCTGCCGTTGGCATATGAAGCTGAGGTGGTCGGTAACCTTGAGCGCCTTTCCCGCTTTGGAACGCAGTAAGAAGAGGACGGCACGCTCAGCGACATAGGCTCCATCACCCTGGAAGAGAAATCTGCAAAAACAACATAATAATATGTCAACCTTTCAGTCGCTTGCCCATATACCATAATTTCAGACATGTGTTGCTCCAATAAAACATTTCCATTACCCACATCTAAGAACTTTGGGCGCCGTCCGGTGAGGCACCTTCCCCACCTCGAGCATCCTGGAGACCTCATCGCCGCAATGCAGTGCCTCCTCGAATCGCTCCTTGACCTCCTCCATTGCCTCCACGACATCTCTCTCCCCATTGTGCAACGGCGAGAAGGACTCGCTGCTCACTGTCATGGCCGACCGCACCGACTTGCCGTGGCTACCCCCAGCGCCATCTGCATCGACAATTGACCCGGCCTCATCAATCGCAGCACCCTTCTTCCCGGTGGAGCTGCCGCCAACAATGTCGCCACCATTCTCACCAAATGGCACACCCTTCTTCTTCTTCTTCTCGGAGGAGGAGTTGCTGCCAGCAATGTCATCAAAGTTGGCACCCTTCAAGCTCACTGCATCGGTCCTGCCCCCTTTCTTGCTGTTCGAGCCGGAGCCGGCATTGCTCGGCACTGAATCGTTCCTTGGCAGCGGCTTCTCCGCCTCGGCATTGGCACCAGATGATCCCTTGCTCTGCGGCTTCACCTCAGAGGAGGAGGTGCCATTGGGACGGGCGGCGTTGGTGGTAGGACCAGGAGCTGGTGTCTTCCCCTTCACGCGCTGATCTTCAACGACGGCCGAGGTTGATGGCTGTGCTGGCCCCAGCTCAGCCTCGTCCTCAAGCTCCGGGATCCCCTCCATCCTCCTCAGCTCGGCGTAATTGGCGTAATTGGGGCTGTTGGTGGGCAGATTCCGATCCCCGTCGGCGGCCTCGCCGGGCATGCCGCGCGAGTAGTCCTCCAGGAACTGGTCGTAGGGCGTGGGCGTGAAGAGGTCCAAGAAGTCCCACGGCGAGGCCTCCGGGGGCGGCGGCGTGGGCGGCGGGCGGCGCGGCCTCGCCTCCTCCGCGACCGGCTCGCCGTAGGGGCCGTACGTGTACGCGGACCCGTAGCCGTAGCTGTAGCTGGCCGCGGCCTCGGCGTACTCGGCGTAGGGGTCCTCGTAGACCACCGTGGGCACGGTGGCGGAGTTCCTCATGTAGTGGCGGTGCTGATGCTGCGTCGTTGCCGTCGGGGGCGGCGCGTGCCCGCGGAGGCGGGCGCGGCGGGAGTGGTCGAGCGCGTGGAGGTGCTCCTCGTCGTCGTCGGAGGAGGAGACGGAGAGGGAGTGGGAGAGGGGCGAGACGGTGGAG